ATAACAATAGAGAATGAGATCTATTAGTATGTAAGAAAATACTAATAGATCTATTAGTATTCTGTATTTTTATATAGAATAGTAATAGATCTGTTAGCCTGCTATAGAAAAAAATATAAAATGCTAATAGATATCGATCTAGCAAATTGAATAGTCCAAATGGCACGTGTTTACATTTAYGATCATTTTTCTTGAGGAKGTTAGATGAATTTTCTGCCTTTACGTTTTGTAGAAGCCTGTTAAGGCCAGAAACAATCACAAATAGAGATTTTGATAAATATTGTCCGGCACTGTTATTATCAATAATGGCATCTTTTTTTCATCATATATTTTACATAGTTTACCATATAGTAATTATATAGTCAGTACAATTTTGATACAATATTTAGCTATAATCTTATAAATGCCCTTTAATTCCTTCTGCCAATTCTGTCCATTTTCATGTTCTGGATTTTAAGTATTTTCCTTATGGTTCCAACATTGCACACTGTTCCTTSAGTAGATAGTATTATTGTTCTCTTCCTGCACTTCCATGTAATTGATATTATTAGAACGATTTTACATAAMCGGATAAAAATGCTAATGAGGAACAATTTATGCTAATTCACAAAACACGATTTTAGACGTGGAACAATGAGGATATTGATRAACGCTTTACTTATTTGACGAACAGATACACCTACTTGCAGAAACGTTGTCATAGAAAATAGAACATTCGAATTTAGTAAAAAGGAATCAATTAAAACAAAACAAAAGAAAGCTTTCAGCCTCAGTGACCTTCTTTTGTCTTTATAATTTATTACTTTTTACTAAAATACAAATGTCCTAATTTTTTATGACAACGTTTTCGCAAGTAGGTGACTGTATGTTTTAAATAACAAATCATAACAAACATTAAAAATCACACTAAAGCTTTTTCTTCACGACATCCTTTCTCTTCTCTTTAGGTGTCTTCTTGCCCACATATTTCATTTCTAGCTATTGCGTTGAATTATCTTCTGGTTCTGGTCATTCTGTCACAATTGATTTGCACTGTGCTGTGTACTGGATCAGATATGATCCTTTTGATTATTCCTTTCAGTCTCGTGATTAATTGCACATTACCACTCTAACTAGATCAGGGAGGCAAGTGTTGACTATCCCCTTACACTTTTGGTAGCATTCTAAGACAAACTTGTGCTCCTGCTCACTTTGTGTCTATTTTTTGCAAACAAGGACAACAATTTGATACAAGCTATTGTTATCATGTAATGTGTATTAGCATAAATTGATCCTCATTAGCATATTTTATCCGGTTATGTGAAATCGTTCTATTGAGACTGTTTGGTCGAGCTTTCTTTAGGTAGAATGGCTGTATTTCGTTGTACCTTGACTTTGTTTTTGTTTTTTATTTTTTCATTACTGACTTTTTTTTTGTTTTTATTTTTTCATTACTGACTGTTGTTGTCTGTATTGTGGTTTATTATTATAACCACTTTCTTGATAACCGTGGATTAGTCAATTGGAGTTGGTGGTATAATTTGTCTCGGCATATGGTCATGCCCGTGACGTGGTCGATGTTTCACATGTAGCATTTTCATTTTATATCTGACCATATCTGTGTTTGATTCTTGCTTTGTTGGTAGTGACTGTTACCTAATGTTTGTGTTATATGTCCGGTATATTTTTCCAGGTATTGTTGATCATTGTTTGGATTGCAAGACATATCTGGATCTTTGA